TTTCTCCTCCTTTCTCCCTCCCTTCCTTGGGTACTATTATATATATGAAGGCTGGAGGTGCAGCAACCAACTTCCAATATGAGACAACAGGCCTAAGGATGCAGACTATTTATGATAATGATGGAGTTATAAGATAAAATAAGGCCTGCATTTTTTATGACATTGCAGAGCCAACGACCAACCTTGGAAACTAACCTCTGGATTTATAGTCGAGTATCAGAAAAATGTATTTATTATGTAATACATTGTTGATTGGTTATAATAGTACTTAAATTCTTTCTAAAAGGTCATATTTGGTAATTGGCTTCATTTTGCCCACTTCATTGACCAGTTGTATTGCACAATTTACAGAATCACAAAATTTCTATTCCTCATATCTTTGTCTTACACATAGACGCATCTTGCCATATTTTAGATCCCTTAGTCCTTTATGCTCCTTCATGGCATTCTCTTAGCTTCAACCCATGCTAGCAATTGCTTCAACTTCACAATGGCCCAGTTCAAAATTTTTAAGAAAGAAATCTAACTGTCCTTGTTCCTCTTTGTCAGACCACATGGACCACTGGCAAACCTACAAATGGGCCACATTTGGGTCAAGTTCAAAGTCTTAGCCCAATCAACTTCAGGGAGAAATGGTAATGGATAAAACATGGTCGCCATTCCTGTACAGTTCTATGAGTAAGGCAGTTTACATTCAACAGGGTTATGGGTGGGGGGAGGTACTGTAAAATATATCTGGTATAATAATTTATAATTTGATATTGATGCACAACAGTCTTCATAACCAGCAGGTTGATAGCAATTTTCAAGTTATATTCTAAGGACATTTACTTATTTCATCTGTAAAAAAGGGGGATGCATTTATGTAATCCTTTCGTCTTTGATATTTTCCAACACCTATCCTCATGAGAGGCATTGTCAGTGGTTTAATTTCTCATACCACATTCTTTGGCAGAACACTTTTCTGCCTCGACTTGTGGCAATAAGTTGACACCATACTCCTCTTTCTCCCTATATCCTTAGAAAAGTGACATATGTGTTTTCTCTTTCAAATAGGATCCTATGGCCTAGATATAACAAGAGCTGAATAGTATAATGGTATCCACTATCTTTTAAGAATGAAGTTTTCCACATGAAGTACATTTTCAAGGCAACTTATCGTTAAAACACCAACACCATTTTAAAAATGTAACTTTTTATGGTTAATCTATCTAAAATCTTTCATATACCTAAAATCTGTATGCTTCCTGCCTTCCTAAACAAATGACATTGAACATAAATTGCCTTAACCTGGGTTAATAATTATAAATATCCAACATTCAAGAGTGTCATAATCCAGTTTGAAGACAGGTTTTTGTTTTGTCTCTTCTCCCATTTATTTATTTAGATGGAATCTGGTCCTGTCACACAAGCTGAAATGCAGTGGTGCAACCATAGCTCACTGTAGCCTCAATCCCCTGGGCTCAATGATCTTCCCTTCTCAGTCTCCCGAGAAGCTGGGACTACAGGCACAAGCCACCGTGCCTGGCTAATTTTTATTTTTTTGTACAGATGCTATCTCCCTATGTTGTCCAGGCTGGTTTTGAACTCCTAAACTCAAGCAGTCCTCCAACCTTGGCCTCCCAATGTGTTGGAATTTCAGGCATGAGCCACCACACCAGGCCTTCTTCTTCTACTTTTAGAATATTACTGTTACTGATGAGAATTTGTCTTAAGTCTCCAGATTTCTGATTTTTTTTTCTCTTCTATGATAAGGGAGACTAGATAAATAAACTTAAGAATTTTCTGCTGGTTAAAAATCAATAAAATATTGGAGGAAGGCTACTATAATTGGAATTGTAAATATTGGAATTGTAATTACAGGCTTCAAAGTCCAAGTCTTTGTAATTACCTTATAGGAGCTTGAAAGTATTTTTCAGATATTTAAGGGCTATGTTCTGGCTGGTTGAGTTCATCCAGAGACAAACCTTCAAATAGTCTCCTCAACAGCTCACAATGCTACCCATATTTGATTATTAATGTTCGAACTGCTGTAATTCATTATTTTATGCAATAAATATTTATTATGCTACTTCAGTGGGCTGGCTCTTCTCTAGGTATGAGACACAGTCCTGGCTTTTCAGGAGCTCAAAGCCAAGCAAGAAAGTACATGAGGATGTAACCAACTAGAATACACTGCCAAAAGCGAAGAAATCATGCATAATCAAAGTCATATGACATTCCAGAGATAGGATGATCTTTAGGTTGTGTTTGTCAAGGAAGCCATCACAGAAGTGACATTAGAACTAGATCTTGAGAAGGGGACAGTTTGTCAAGTTTAACAAAAATTAGACAGGGGGAAAGGCACCTTAGGCAGAAATATAAACATAAATCATTTTTCAATTAAGGAATCTGAGACATTTACACCACAAAAATGTAGCATCAATGTAGACTACTAAAGTAGCAATTGATCTGTAGTCAGTTTTAATCTGGTTTATCCCTTATTTTCAGATATAAAGGGCTGCCAGAAAGAGACACACAAATGGTATTTTAAAAGTTGGTTTGGAAATTCTAGTAGAACACAGTTTATACCTAGGGTAGAATACTGTCCTTCTCTAATCGAATAATTTTTTTTTTTCAAACAGGCCTAACACATTTTGGAATGAGAAAGAATATTAGTTCAGGCTTCCAAATAGCAACATAGATTCTGAAAATCTTTTAGGTAACATGTGTCAATTCAGACAATCAATGCAGTGACATTTGCCAAAGACAGTTTAGTCTCTGTATTAGTCACGGTTATCTAGAGGAACAGAAAGAATGGAGTATGTATATATATGTGAGTTTATTAAGTATTAACTCACATGATCATGAGGTCCCAAAATAGGACGTCTGCAGGCTGAGGAGCAAGGAGAGCCAATCCGAGTTCCAAAACTGAAGAGCTTGGAGTCCAATGTTGGAGGATAGGAAGCATCCAGCATGGGAGAAAGATGTAGGCTGGGAGGCTAGGCCGGTCTCTCTTTTCACATTTTTCTGCCTGCTAATATTCTAGCTATGTTGGCAGCTAATTAGATTGTGCCCACCAGATAAAGGGTGGGTCTGCCTTCCCCAGCCCACTGACTCAAATGTTAATCTCCTTTGGCAACACCCTCACAAACACACCCAGGATCAATACTTTGCATCCTTCAATCCAGTCAAGTTGACTCTCAGTATTAACCATCACAGTCTCACACCCAAAAGATTATTTTTTCCTACTAAGCCAAAGGCGTTAACAAATTTTAGTTTGGAGAAAAGTGAAAGCAATAAAACTAAGATGTATTTAATAACTTTGCTTCTTTGACAATTCCAACAATTGTTTTATAGCTACCTTATATGCTTATTTCATATTCTGTGTCACTATATAAGTGTTATGAATATGCTGGACCTATATATTTTGAAATAGGATAAATAATTTTAAAGATTTTATTGATAATTGGTTCTAAAATATTTGATCACCTTGTAAAACTATATGTCTATAGTGCTATAAATGAGTACAGGTATATGTCATGATATACCTACAAATATATTTATAATTATATGATTTTACCCATATGTCATGCCTATATATATAACTGAATTTCAAAGTAATGTATTCTATAAGGCAACAACTCACGTACACTCTGAATTTGATCTCCAGAATAAGTACTAAAGCATTTTCTTTTCTTTTTTTTTTTTTTTTTTTTTTGAGACGGAGTCTTGCTCTGTCGCCCAGGCTGGAGTGCAGTGGCCGGATCTTGGCTCACTGCAAGCTCTGCCTCCTGGGTCAAGCCATTCTCCTGCCTCAGCCTCCCAAGTAGCTGGGACTACAGGCGCCCGCCACCTCGCCTGGCTACTTTTTTTGTATTTTTTAGTAGAGACGGGGTTTCACCGTGTTAGCCAGGATGGTCTCGATCTCCTGACCTCGTGATCCGCCCGCCTGGGCCTCCCAAAGTGCTGGGATTACAGGCTTGAGTCACCGCGCCCGGCCCAAAGCATTTTCTTTAGAAAATAATGGAAAGTATAAAACACATACAAAAATACAAAGGTTATTAAGAATGGTATTCTAGTTAACATATAAGAACATCTAGATGACCTTGGTTTGGCAGTGGCTTTTATATACAACACCAAAAGCATGACACAAGTGAAACAATTGGAAATTTTGACGGTATTAAAATTAAAATCTTGTTCTCTGCTATAGACTCTATTAAGGAAATGAAAATACAAGTGACAGCCTGGTTGAAAATATTGGCAGAACACAAATCTGATAAAGGACTGTAATCCAAAATATATAAAGACCTCTTAAAACACAACTATAAGAAAGCAGACCAGGCATGGTGGCTCATGCCTGTAATCCCAGCACTTTGGGAGGCTGAGGTGGAAGGATCACTTGAGGCCAGGATTTCAGAACCTGTCGCTACCCAAAAAATGCAACAAATTAGCTTAGCGTGGTGGCGTGCACCTGTAGTCCCAGCTATTTTGGGGGTTGAGGTGCGATGATCCCTTGAGGCCCAGAGGTCGAGGCTGCAGTGAGCTGAGTTATTGACACTGCACTCCAGCCTGGGTGACAAAGTGAGACTGTGTCTTCAGAAAAAAAAAAAAAAAAAAAAAGACAGCAAACAACTCTAAATTTGGGTGAGGAGGCCTGTGCATGAAGGTCTGGCAGCTCTTCTCAAACTCCTTGGTTAAAGGAAAACAACAACAACAATTTATCATCAATATGCTACTCATAAGTAAGTGTGGGATAAAAGAAACTTGGAATTTATGTATCTCCTCTCATTTTACAAGTACGATTCCTTTGGGTAAAGAACCATCAATCAAATATCCAAAAGTATAAACAAATATCAGGAAGTAAAAAGTATTAACAAAAGTAAGTTCAACACGATGGCTTCAGGAGGGCTGCAGTGGCAAGGGAGGCAGCCGCGGCAGCAGTAGTGGCAAAGTTGGCCATGGTGGTGGTAGCAGCAGCAGCAAGCGGTGGTGACAGCACGGGCTCCAGGCCAGGACCATTAGTAGAAGCAGACCATGTGCAGGAAGGCCTGGCCGTTCTTCTCCTCCAACTTCTGAAGCAGCTGATCAATCTCATTCTCCGTATCCTCTGAGCGCTGCATACACTGGCAGAGCTCGCAGATGAGAAATGCCCCTATGATGGCATCTTCCTGGTTGTCCTGGATGTCCATGTTCACCACATGCACTGGCTGGCAGGTCTCCTGTTCTCTGGAATTCAGATCTTCCACCACCGGTCATCAATTTTCTCTTCACAAGTGATGATCAGATCAAACACATCTTTGCAATCCTGGAACCTTTCTGGCCGGAGCTTGATTCTCTTATTTCTGTCTAACATATACAGAATGCCATTCTGTGTATAGAATTCTTCGTCTTTCGTGATAAGATCAATGTACATTTCATCATATGTGGTTTCGAAATCATAAATATTTGGCTTGTTAGGTGCTGGTCCTGGAAACTTCACATGAGGTGCTGTTCCAAAGGACTGGACACTGAATCCTCATTTGCTGAGGATACTGTGTGCCTCCATGCTCCGGTTTTGGTTACTTGAGCACACCACCGCCACCCGCAACTGTAACAATGACATGGCTGCGACCGCACCCCCCAACGATGCTCTCACTTACTCTTCTACCGACCCCAGCACCTTAGTGCCAGCAGAATGGCGACCAAAAATGGTGACCGCGTCTCAGAGGATATAGTACGTGGCGTCTGCGCTTGCCAGTCTCCTCGCAAGCCCCGAGTGCGGAGCCGCAGGTACGCTGGCATCCGGGCTCAGGCAACGCGTTCTGTGACAGTTGGCGGCTGGCGCCTGCGCAGCCACACCCGCGCGCCACAAGGTGCAGCCCAGCCACATTTAAAATATATATATTTTTTCGGCCAGGCGCTGCGGCTCATGCCTGTAATCCCAGCACCTTGGGAGGCCGAGGCGGGTGGATCACCTGAGGCAAGAAGTTCGAGACCAGCCTAACATGGAGATACCCCGTCTCTACTAAAAATACAAAATTAGCCAGGCATGGTGGCGCATGCCTGTAATCCCAGCTACTCGGGAGGTTGAGGCAGAGGAATCACTTGAACTCGGGAGGTGGAGGTGGTGGTGAGCCAAGATCGTGCCATTGCCCTGCAGCCTGGGCAACCAGAGCAAAACTCCATCTTCAAAAAGCAAACAAACAAACAAAATATATACATATATATATGGTTTTTTGTTTTTGTTTTTCTGTATAGCGAAAACCTTATTGTTGTAAGTTCAATTGAAGGCTTTTAAAAAAGCCTTTTAAGGAATTCTATAACCATCACCAAAAAGTCAGTCTGTCCACCTGCATGATCTCCCAGAGCACTTCCGCCCCATGTGGTGGGGAGACAAAAGCAGCATGTGTGGGGCAGTTGTCTGACAAGCTGCTGTCCAAGCTGGTTAATCTCCTGTCCATCAGTTCTTTCCGTAAATCAAAGTCTTGATTTACGGAAGTCATGAGTTCTTATAGGAGCCTCATGACCTTACAATTGGCATCCCAGTGGTCCACGTTAGTAGAAGCAATGGCCCACTGTAAGATAGGGATGACTACTTGGCTTCTCAGCAAGGTGACAGGGCTACACTGAATAAACCTGGTGGATAGCCTGAACAGGTCGTCTACAGTGTCAGAGTGATTCTGGAGACCATTCTGCTGTTCTAGGAGCTGAAAGGTGGGAATGCACAGTGCCTGGACATGTCTAGTGGTCTCTGCCCACAGCCATCTTCCATGCCATACTCATCTACGAGGATAATGCCAAGGTATAGGAAACAAGAATGCTGATGTACGTGGCACGCATTCACACAAATGGTGTGAATCATTCTAGTGGTTACAGCAGCACGGCAGATCCTTTGCCTACACAGCGAACCGCAAAGTGCAGGCACCTGCAACAGTGCTTTGCAATCTGATTATGAGCCGGGTGCTTATTTAGAGACTCGCATAAAATTGGCCATATTTCCTGTATGACTTTTTGGCACCGATGAGTCTGTCTGTTTTCCACAGTAGAATTCGTATGGCTAAATACCACTGCAAGGCGATCTAAGAACAGTGTCAATGGTTAGAGAATTCCTTAAAGGATTTGCCAAAGGAGACAACCGTGGGAGCCGTCACCGTGACACACAAGCAACTTCCAGACTTCCACAAGCAAGTCACTAGTGCTGTGGAATGTAACCAGGTTTGCTGGGCCTTGTGAGAACTCACCAGGTTCTTTCGATAGCTCACGCTTCTGCACTATGCCTGTCACCCAGGAATGTCTTTTTAAATTAGAAGACTGGAAGAAAACAAAAACGACAATGTGTCCCACAGTCAGAAACCTCTGTCGTGGCAGAGGGGACTTCACCGCCACCAGGGTGTCCTGCCAGACAGAAAGAGACTCCAGGCTTCTGAAGGCCCCCTGGGGAGTTCTTGTTTGGGGGTGTGAGGGAAAATCAGGGAGGTTTAAAAAAAGATGGCTGTGGCCTGCCTGGCGTGGTGGGAGGGGAGGTGGTTTCCTGGCAAATTGATTTCTAAAAGGAAAGATAATTTCAAGAAAATAAAAAAGGAAAACTAAGTGGAAAAAAAGCCTTGTAAAATCAAATTCCAAATTAATGCCAACACTCACTCTTCTGCTTTTGAAAACTCCAATTGTTAGAACTTTTCCTTCAAATTACCATCTATCAAACTACATATCATTTGTGTTTGCTCATGGCTCTCTTCATTTTCAAAGTTAGGTTGTTTGGAAATAAATCTCAGTTGCAGAGCTGTAACTTAGGCAGGGTTATCAAAAAGTTGCTTAAGTCTGTCATCCTAGCAGTTTGGGAGGCCAAGGCAGACTGATCGCCTGAGCCTAGGATTTCTAGACTAGCCTGGGCAACATGGTGAAACCATGTCTCCTTTAAAAATACAAAAAATTACCCAGGCTTGGGGTGTGGTATCGGGCACCTATGGTCCCAGCTACTCGAAGGCTGAGGTGGGAGGATCACTTGAACTTGGGATGTCAAGGTTACAGTGAGCCTTGCTTGCACCAATGCACTCCAGCCTGGGCAACAGAATGATACCTTGTATCAAAACAAAAACAAACACAAAAACAAAACATGTTGCTTAAGATCATTAAAGTACATGGGGCTAGAAATGTTTTTTAAAAATATATATAATTACACAAAAGAATGAAATTAGAGAAATTGAATTATATCAAATTAAAATTTTTTGCATGAATGACACTATCAAAAGAGCAAAAAGTCAACTGACACACTTGGGGAAAGTATTCACAAATCATATATCTGACAAGAGGTTCATATCCAGAATAAATATTAAGAACTCCTGTATCTCAAAAACAGAAATGCTAACAATCAGATTTAAAAATGGGCAAAGGACTTGAATAGGCATTTCTCCAAAGCGTATGTACAAATAGCCAATAAACACATGAAAAGATTTTCAACATCACTAATCGCTAAGTGAATGCAAATCAAAACCATAGTGAGATACCACTTCACACCCACTAGGATGGCATATATATACACACACACATATATATAATATGTACACACATATATATAATATATATGTTTTTTAAAACAGAAAATAATAAGGATTGCAAGAATGTGGAGAAATTTAAACCCTTGTGCACTGCTCTTAGAAATGTAAAATGATGCAGCCACTATGGAAAATGGTGTGACTATTCCTCAAAAAATTAAAAATAGAAACAGCATATGATCCAGCAATTCCACTTCTGGGTATATACCCAAAACAATTGAAAGCAAGGACTCAAACAGATATTTGTACACGAATGTTCATAGCAGCATTATTCCCAATAGCCAAGAGGTAGAAGCAAACCACATGTCCATTAGTGAATGAATGTATAAACAAAGTGTGGTATTTACACACAATGGAGTATTATTCAGCTATATAAACCAAGGAAATTCTGATACATGTTACAACATGGATGAACCTTGAAGACATTATGCTAAGTGAAATAAGACAATCGCGAAAGACAAGCATTGTATGAATCTACATATTTGAGGAACCTGAAGTAGTCAAATTCATAGAGATAGAAGTAGAACGGTGTTTGTGAGGAAAAGGGAGTTATTTTTTAATGAGTGCAGAGTTTCAGTTTTGTAAGATGAAAAAATTTTGGAAATGGGTGGTAGTAGTGGCTGCACAATTATGTGAATGTACCTCATGTCACTGAACTGTACACTTAAAACTGGTTAAAATAATAAATTTTATCTATATTTTATCGCAATTTAAAATATAAACATTGATACATACACTGGAACTGTGTCCAATCAATATTGGCCCACCAAATGTAACAAATGGATCATACCAGTGCAAAATGTAAATAATAGGGAAAACTGACAAAAGAGTAAGGAGGTATAGGAACTATGTACTTTCTGCTTTTTTTTTTCCTACTGCAAACGTAAAATTGCTTTAAAAATCACCTATTTAAAAACAAGACAAATGTACATACTAAGCTTATTGCCTCAAGAAACATCACCTTTCCCTCAATCAGGATTCTCTAGTTGCACTAGCACAGTGGTAAGTTTGTCTCTGGCCCTAAGCCAGACTTCGTGGCAGCCAGCAATGATGAAAAAGCCAGACACCCTATGTCAAGGGCAGAAATGCTAATGTTCTAGGGCTTCTTTGATTCCTTTTTTTCGTCCTCTACTTTTTTTTTTCTCATAGTACATTGTTCTGTAGAGTTATGGTTGCATTTGTTGCTGCCTACTTCAGATGCCACAGTTGTTTGTTATGGCTCTGATATTTCATTAGGATCTGACCAATTCTGATAACAAAAGAATTAACTTGTACATTTTAGATTATTTTTTCTGGAGTATACCCCCTCTGTGGCTTGTATAAATGGTAGTATATTTATTTCTTTTAAGTATGTCTTTCTATTTCAGCCAACATTTATTGAGAAAGCGCCTTGTATCAGATAATTTTCAAAGTTCTAAGAATACGATTAAAAACATTTTTTTCTTTTACCTCAGTTGATACTACAGTCTAGTAAAGGAGACAGACATTAAACAAACAAGCTTGCAAATAAAAATGTAAATATATTCAAGGAGGAAATGAAGTAGCTGCAATGACCCACTTTAGATTAGATGGTCAGAAAAAACCTATTTGTGGGAAGTAACTTTCAAGACGAAGCCAGTAAGATGACTAGGAGCCAGCCAGGTCAAGTGTGGGGAGAGAGTATTTAGGCAGAAAGAAGAGTATGAGCAAATTTTCTGAGATGGGAATGTGCTACGTGAATTTGGGCAAAAAGAACCAAAAGGCCAGTGTGACTGCAGTGTAGTGAGGGGAAGACGGGCACAGATGAGTTCTGAGAAGTGGACAACTGTCAAGTCATATAAGATCTTATATCTCTGGTAGGTGTTTTCATGTTTAGAGTAATAAGATTATAAGAGTGTCAGAAATTGTTCTAAGTGCTTTACTTGCTTTTTAGGGTTTTTTTTTTTTTTTTTTAGTACAGATGGAGTCTCACTATGTTGCCCAGGATGGTCCTGGACTCCTGGGCTCTAGGGATTATCCCACTTCAGCCTCTCGAAGTGCTGAGATTACAGGCGTGAGCCACCAAGCCTGGCCTCTAAGTGCTTTACTTGTA